GCTGGAGGGGCAAGATGAAGGCACAGCCACCAGCCCGGCCAAGGGACGGCGGGGTGAGGGTGCGCACCGGGGAGTGTTTGTCTTTATTTTCTGCAGTTCTTCCCCCACCCCAACACGCACAGACAGACACAGACAGACACAGACACTTGGAGACACACACAGGTCCTCCTCAGACTGGGTGGTTTTACTGCATAAGCTTGGGGTGCTACCAGAGCCCTGCTCATGGCTGTGGAGGACACAGCCCTCTGAGTGTCCTTCCCTGAGACACTCCATGCAGGGTGAGGGTGCATTGCTGCTGCTGCTGCTGTAGGGCTTGTGTGGGTTGGATTTTTTTTTGGAGTGTTGCTGGGGTAATTCAGGAGGCAGAGAGGAGCAGGGTAGCGTGGCAGAGCAGCAGGCAGGTCCAGGAGGTGTCTGCTGCCCCTGGGTTGCTCTGTCTTGGGGCAAGTGGCTTTAAGCCCCACAGCTTTGGTGTTTGCATGGTGGGTTTTCCTTATTGAACTATCCATGGCTGGCCGGCATGGCAGGGCACATGCTGTGCTTGGGGCCCTCACATGGAGGCATCACAGTTTTCATTTCCACCCTCCCATGCACACAGACTTTCCAGACGCTGAGGTAGGCAGGATTCGTTTCCAAATCTCTTTCCTTAGAAAGAGTGAAAGCAGGAGCTTAATGGACGAGGTAACCCTGTGGAAGCCCCCATGCTATCTCTCTGCCTCCTCTACCTCCTTCAGTGTCGCAGGGCTGGGTGCTGGTGGCATCTGCCAGTGGCTTTGCCATCTCCTCATAGTCAGGGAAGTGGTTGTGGCTGCCACCTATCCTTTTTCTATTGCAACTAAATAGCCTTAATCAAAGCCAAGAGCTGAAACCATTGAAGGAACCTGGTGCCATTTGGAGGGCTGGACTGAGGGCTGGGACTTACCCTCCTAGAGAGCACTGGCTCAAAGGGACCATGCCTGGATGATGGTCTTGGCCCTCCTGCATAAGACCAACCCTTGCACATGTAAAGGCAGTGGTGACCTCCAAAAGCACCAGAGCCCTCCCCGGTCTGCTCTTGGAAAAGCAATGTGGGGAGTCACAGGTGACTTTATGTAGCTCTCACATTGGTAAAATGGTCTGTTTAAGCCAACGGACTATTCCTCATCCCCACTTTCCTTGTCCTGGCACGGCTTTACTTTCCTTAGCAGTGCACACACTGTGGGCAGGGCCTCCTGCCTGAGCGGTACCTTTCAAATGCAAGCACAGACTCTGAGGAAGAAGGAGGGGTGGTGAGGGCTCCGTTCCCACATGGACACAGTGGGGTTTTGGGAGGCTGAGTGTTCCCAGGCAGCACTAGGTTTGAAGCTTGGCTGAGATTTTGTGCCTTCTCTGCTTAAAATAAAAAAACAAAAGAAAAAGGAGGAAAAAAAAATCCAACCTCCCTTCTTTCCCCCTTGACACAACTCCATCCAGAATGGGTGCAAGCCCCGCGGCGGTGCAGGCACTGCGGTTGCTCTGTGTGTGTGTACACACACTTCACCGGAGCAGTCCTCTTTCCTGCCTGTCTGCTCACTTTGCTGCAGGGGGGTAGGACTGATGGAGGAAGAATAGTGGCTTTAGAAAGCCTAGTGTAGCAGGAAAAGGAAAAACAACTATCCAAGAAAAGCCCAGACACCTTCTCTGCTTTTGTAACAACCCCTGTGTGACATTCACAGGAACACTGCCCTCAGCTGTCCCCCTTTTCTTCTGGGAAAGCTCGTCTGGTTCCTACCCTCCATGAGACTGTTTGCTCCTCTTTCTTTGTTCTTTCTAATTGTCTAAAATTCAATAAAACTTTATTCATATAAAAAAAGGACTTCTTACTGCCTGCTGCTGCTTTTTCCCCA